TAATAGGTCTCTAAAATTAAACAAAAAGAGAGAGACAACATTTCAATCTCTCTTCTATGTAGCAGATCTAAATTATCAACATTTACTAGAAGGTATGACACAAACATATTAACACGCTATGCATTTCCGATAAACGTCAAACGAATTTATAACTGTAGATAAGGTAAAAATATTAAACAATGTAACTGTAAATAACACATTAATTCAACAAACATTTATTAAAATAGTTACATAAACTACATGGAAAGAGCAATAATAACAATACAACAATAAGAACAACAGTAAAAAAGCTAACATTAATTGGGCTCCTACTGTATACCAAGTACTATGCTCAATGCTTTACATTCATCATCTCATTTAATATCCCCACCAATAAAAAATAGATACTGTCATTTCTATTTTATGAAGAAACTGAGGCTTAGAAGCTTCAGGACACAGTAAAGAAATAGGGAGAACTGGAAGAAAATATGTATCTGACACCAAAGTTAGTGCTCTCAACTCTAAAGACAAATAGGATATTGTTTTTGTCCATAGGGATCTTATAGTATAGGCAATCCATGAAATATTGGCTATCTACTGATAACAGATATCCAAGCTCCAAAATGAAATTGAAAAACTAGGTTAAAGGTAAACAGACCTCTTCACTGCGGAACTACTCAGAATCTTTAACACAGCACACTAACCATCATTTGCCCTGACTACCTAGTTTTCACCTCTAGGTCCAACTTAGCTTAAACAAGAAATTTAATTTCAGGTTTCAATTCCCTTATTTCTAAACTGGTAATAATAGTATCTATCTCATGAGGTTATTGTGAGTCTTAAGATAATACCTGTAAGTTAACTAGAATAGTGCCCTGGGGCATAGCTAACATTTGTTAAACATTTACTATTATTATCATTATCATCCCGTTAGCATTAACATCTTGCCTTTTCAGGGACACCAGGGTGAGAGATTGCCAGGCCTGTTATACCTACCTGTGGTAGACTGTCTTACTTGCTCACAAGTATTCATTCCCTCCCCAGTCTTGTTATGTCTTCCTGTAGAGTATACCTCTTTGCCTTGTTGACCTTGGGCTTGGCCATTTGCCTTGCTTTGTAGACATGATGTATGCCACCTCTAAGTAAAATTTTAAACGTGCTTTCAGAAATGACTAGATTTTTTATGTGCGCATATATGTGTATATCTGAACTGCTTTCAGACACTAAATATGAGGCATTGCAAAGACTGTGATTCCTGAGAGAAGGAAAATAAATGAGATAATCCTTTCGATAGCCTCAGCTTTCTGCCTAAAGGCACATAGAGGCCACAGGTTAGAGAGGGAGAACTTCAGTAGAGTGAGGCTGAGGCAGCAGAATTTATGGGGTAGAATACTGAAAGAGAGGAAGCTATCCAAGAAAGAGCCTGAGAACTGAATTCTAAACCATGCATGCATAGGGTGAACTCCAAAAGGCTAGGACAAGAATAACTGGTGAGTTGTAAGCAGAAAAATTTCCAGAGTTTACACAGGGCTGGATGTCATTCAAGATCTAACTCCTTAGAGAAGAGAGGCCTCTTTAACACGGACAGCATTCAGTAGAGACCCTACTGCATCTTAGTAGTAGGGCTGGCCCTAGAGTAAAATCTGCTCTAGAGCTGTCCCAATAAAAGTAAAAGCCAAGTCTGATAAAGCTCAAGCAAATCCACAAATAACTGCCTAAAATAACAAAGTCCAACATTTTGTAAAGAAAAACAAAGCAATCAAGCTCTTAACAACATTACATTTACAATGTCTAGCATCTAACCAAAAATTATTTTTTAAAGTTTAGAATATTTGGTCACATTTACAAATTTAGTTAAATGCCCTGAGAGATCCTATTTACTTTAGACATATGATGTATATCACAAATGTTTCCAAGTACTGAATCTTTATAAACCTCATAAACAATGTATAAATATGGTAACTCACATTTTTATAAATATTGATATAATGCATACAAATTTGGTAAGATTTCTATTTAACAATCACATGAATAAGTCAATTACTTAAATACACTTTTTTTTTTTTTTTTTGAGACAGGGTTTCGCTCTGTCTCCCAGGCTGGAGTGCAGTGGCACGATCTTGGCTTGGCTCACTGCAACATCCACCTCCTGGATTCAAGCAATTCTCCTGTCTTAGCCTCCTGAGTAGCTGGGACTTCAGGCACACACCACCACACCCATCTAACTTTTGTATTTTTAGTAGAGACGGGGTTTTGCCATGTTGGCCAGGCTGATCTCAAACTCCTCAACTCAAGTGATCTGTCTGCCTCAGCCTCCCAAAGTGCTGGGATTACAGGCATGAGCCACCATGCCAGGCCTTAAATATAAATTTTAAAGTGGAATTAGATAACTGACATGTTACTCTAACGAGCTAAGTTACAAGTATATAAAATGGCTTGTAATTATTAACTCTATGAGTTTGATTCTCAATTCATATTTCATTGTAAATCTCCCTAGGGTTAAAACCTGCATATCCCTTATTGAAAGTCTTATCATCTCAAGGCATTTTTTTGATAATATCATTTTAGCTGATCAAAGTTTCATTATTATCAGAGATTTCAGCTAGGACATTCCTGGCTGCTTCTCCATAATGCTAATTTATTATGCAGAGTAAATACTTTTTAACTAAAAGGTAGTTTATCTCACAGTCCTATAACCTACAGCCTTAGATTACTTAATCTAAGTTAAACGTTACTTAATTTTTTGATCTTACAGAACACTGCAACCCTTATCCCAACTCTTATCTTTGATTGATTTTTGTATCTTTAGCTTCTTAAAATATTTTAAGATCTTTTCACCTATGACTAAAGATGCTCGAACTACAGAAACCCCAAATTTTTATTTTTTCCACATCACGTAGGAAAAAGCAATTATTATAGATGTTAAAATAAAGATAAATTTTACCCCTAAGCTTTTGTATGGATTTGCCATCACATCTTGAAAATAATTACACTAACAAAATTAATTTTTGTATTTTCTTCTATTTAAAGAAATATGACTAATGCTACATTGTGTCATTTTCTCCATGATTTTTTAAAGGATGAAAAAAACCTTTCATTTGTTGAATGGATTCCCAGTTCTCCTTGTAAGCCAATAGATAAGGATGAATAACATCCCAGTTAGGAAGCATTTCAATCTACTAAAATGACTAAGGTTGCCAACAATCTCTTTAATATAACTTAATTGAAAACAAAATGCATTTTTTGCACCACTAAACCCAAATGAAAATAACTATTCTGCTAGGTCAGATCATCTTAATATTTTATTCTCAGGTCAAGAGAGGAGCACCCTGCTAGACTTTAAAGAAGTTATCCTCAACATTAAATCTCTGGAAGGACTTCTGAAGTTGAAAAAAGCACCCACACCCCAGAATCACTGCCCTGAATTTTCAAAGAGGAGAAAAAATGCCTTAGTAAATAAACTACAAATAATGAGCAGGCAGTTCCTTAAAAAGTTAAAACAGAGTTCAATTTGACCCAGCAATTCTACTCCTTCATGTACACCCAACAGAATGGAAAATGTATTTACATAAAAACATGTACCTTACACAAAAACTTGAACGTTCATAGCAGCACTATCCATAATGGCCAAAAAGTGAAGCAACCTAAATGTTCATCAAATGGTGAATAAATAAAACATAGTGTATCCATAAATGGAATATTACTTGGTCATTATGCTAAGTGAAAGATGCCAGACACAAAAGGTCACATATCATATGATTACTTTTATATAAAATGCCCAACTAGGCAAATCCAAAAAGAAGGTAGATTGGTGATTGTTAGAGGAGGGGTGGAATGAGGAGGAACCGCCAAAGTATTTTGTTTTGTTTACAGACAGGGTCTCACTTTGTCACCCAGGATGGAGTGCCGTCGCATAATCTTGGCCCAGTGCAGCCTTGAACTCCTGGGCTCAAGTGATCCTCCCATCTCAGCCTCCCAAAGTGCTGGGATTACAGGCATGAGCCACCACGCCAGCCCCAGCATTTCTGTTTGAGGTGATGACAATGTTCTGGAATTAGATCACGGCGATGCTTATAGAATCTTATGAATATACCAAAACCCACTGAACTGTACATTTTAAAAAGGTGAATTACATGGCATGTGAATTACGTCCAGTTTTTAACATTCCTCACAGAGGGGAAAACAGGAGGGAGGACTATATTCTTCAAAAGTGTCAATGTCATTAAAGACAAAGGATATATATATATGTACATAGAGAAAGAGAACAAAAGATAAAGCAAATGGGGTAAAATGTTAACCTCAGGTAATCTAGGTAAAGAGTATGCAGGCATTTTTTTTTGTACTGTTTTGATGTTTGCAACTATTCTATAAATATATTATCTTCAAATAAAAGTTTTTAAATGTTAAAATAGTGAGAAACCCATGATAAAACCCAAATTTCCAAATGATTTACTATAAATGTGTTCTACTTCAATTACCTGCAAAATCCAACATGCCCATTCCCACCAAATTAAACCATATGGACAATTCTATAGGACCCTCCTAATTTATTCCTGGCTAACTTCTGATCTAATTTTGGTAGGCAGGGAAAATTACAAATGTATAAAAAAGATGCTACAAACTTTCCTCTTTTTTGGATATACTGGTGTTTTATAGCTGTCGTAAAATTAAAGAATTACTTTTAGAAAACCATCAGTGACACAAGCAACAAGAAGAAATAGTCAATTAAAAGCCAACTATGAACTTCTGCATTCACATTAAAATGTAAAATCATCTTTCTTCTAAATGAAATACATTTAAAAGATCCCAGTTAAAATAATATTTTATATTAAAATCTGGGTATATCATAATGGGTATAGGGTAGGCTGAATAAAATCTATAATAATACACAGAATCTGTTAATGCCACCTTATATGGCAAAGGGGGCTTTGTAGATATGATTAAGTCAAGAATTTTGACATGGGAATATTATTCTGGATTATTTGTGTGAGCCCTAAATATAATCACAGATATCCTTATAGGAGGGAGGCAGGAGCAGATTTGGCTGCAGAAGAGGAAAAGGCAATGTGACCACAGAAGCGGAGACTGCAGTCATCGTGGGTACCTGCCAAGACCACCAGCAGACAGCCACCAGAAGATGGAAGAGGCAAGGGACAGATTCTTCCCTGAAACCTCCCGAAGGATCCAACCCTGATGACACTTTGATGTTAGTCCTGTATAACTCATTTTGAATTTATACTTAATTGTAATTGTTCTAGCTTCCAGAACTGTAAAAACAAAACAAACAAACAAACAAACCCAAAAAACATTTCTATTGTTTTAAGCCACAGGGTTTGTGGTAATTTGTTACAACAGCAATAGATAATACATGCATATTTGAAACTTTTTGGAATTTAAAGCCTAATAAATGTCCGTGTACATTAATACTGATTCTGTAATATAGGCAAACTATAGAAAAGTAAAGATTAACACAGCAAAAGTGGTTCAAATTGTTCTGATGCCACCTAACTGGCAAACATAACTAGCATCTTTTGTGATTCAGTGTTCACCTTTTATATTGTTGACGGCATTTCCCAACTGCTATTATATCATTTCATTAATAGTGTTCATCATTCTCACCCCAAATTCTTCTGAAATATGTAGCTGAAATGATTGACAATTTTTATATATTAGCTGTTTCTATGTAACAACAAAGCAAATGGGCACTGCCAGTTGCGATTTTTTCTTAAATGCCCCTTAAGAATCAATCTACATTTTCTCAGGGAACTGATATTCTAGAAATCACTCTAGCCTAAGATGGTATGGTGCTAAAAATGCCTCAAGCATGGAGACATTCAAGATAAATTTAGATTCTATTCACACCACTTCATTAAGGCAATGATATTCTAGAATGGTCTGTAAATAACCAGGTGGCATCCTAACAAGGATTCTCCATAGGAATGCAATACCCTGAGGCTAACAGCTTCAGCTAAGCCATCTTTTTAAGTTAATCTTGAAAAATGAAAAATCAATTAACATTTTGCTTCTCAGATCTCGTGTAAACATAAAAAATCTAATAATTTTTTCAAATCAATAAATATGTTCACATAGGAATTATATAACCATGCAGTTATAAATATGTTAAAAGTAATTTTAAAATCTTCTTGAAATGTATGTAAACAGAAAGAGCAACAATCATGAGCAACTGGAACATATATTCCAGTTACTGGCCCAATATTGAATCCTGTTAATAGCTTTTAAAGATCATTATATGTTTAAAGATTACTATATGAATGCATAAATGCCTTTATATTGTCCCTGCAAGCCATACAAAAGTATATCAGAACCCAGAGCTTAGATTACTCTCTGAACTTTTCTATTTCCATTTGAAATAGATCTTTTCTAGCCATGTGTTGCCATTTTTATTTTTCAATAGTTGTACTAATTTCTAGATACTTCCTGCTAAGGCAAGATATCCTTCCAATGTTTCCCCAATACTATGTCCTCATCAAAACGATTTTGTTACAATCCATTATTTTATTGGACAGTTACTGTGCCAAAATCATTCTGAATAACTTCTAATCATATTAATTAGAGTGCTTTCAAAAGGAACAAAGCATTTGGTGAAGTACTGTTTATTAAGCATCTATTTTGTATATGGCACTATAGAGTGCTAGAAAGAAATGAAAAACACAGTTTTGTCCTCAAGAAGCTTATCTCCTCATAAGAGAAGGTACCACATTTACAGAAAAAGCAATAATGACCAGCTAAACATTAAACATGTCATAAAGAAGTGTCAATTATGTGCTATAGGAATTCAGAGGAGAAAAAAGATCACCTAAGATTAGGAAAATCCATAAATATAACCCTTAAAAATGAGAAGGATTTGGACTGGCCTTGATGGGGAGAAGAGAATGAACTGGGGGAGAGGAATGAGGAATGAATTGAGGGAGGAGACTAAGTAAAAAAATAGATAGTATATGAGATCAGTAAACAGCTGAGTTTGGCTGGAGGAAAAGGTACAGAATGGGAGAAGCAGCCAGAAGCTTGAGAAGTTATGTTTCCAACTGACTCCAAAAGGCCTAAATACCAGGCTAAAAACTTTAACTTTATTTATCAAGCAATAAAGAGTTACACAGGATGACTACAAAAAATAAAGTCAATTGGAATAAATAAAGTTTTGGGCTTGTTTGCTTTGTTCTTTTTTGGAAGAATAGAGGGGAAAAGGGGGAGAATTCCTTATTTACTTCAGATATCAGAAATCAGCAAATTTTTGCAGGAGCTAAAGAAAGGTAGCACACATTGGCTGGGCCTGGTGGCTCAAAGCTGTAATCCCAGCACTTTGGGAGGCCGAGATGTATGGATCACCTGAGGTCAGGAGTTCGAGACCAGCCTGGCCAACATGGCGAAACCTCGTCTCTGCTAAAATACAAAAATTAGCCGGGCATGTTGGTGGGTGCCTGTAATCCTAGTTACTCAAGATGCTGAGGCAGGAGAACTGCTTGAGCCTGGGAGGCAGAGATTACAGTGAGCCAAGACTGTGCCACTGCACTCCAGCCTGGGCGACACAGCGAGACTCCGTCTCCAAAAAAAAAAAAAAAGAAACGAAAAGAAAAGTTAGCACACATCAAATGGAAACAGAGAACCTTAGTACATGTATGAAAACTAACTGGACACGATAAGCTATTCAGTCATGTCAGAATACCCAGAATTCTGAGTAGTTGAATAAGACCTTTTTTTTTTGATACATACTTAGGGTGTACAACTTGATGATTTGATAGACATATATATATATATAGTTATATGGTTAGTGATATAGTTAAATGGTTACTACAGTCAAGTGATTTAACATCTATTGTCTCAGATATTTATCCCCTTTCCACTTTTTTGTGGTAATTGCATCTAAAGTCTGCCTTGGCAAAATTCTAGTTATAACACAATATTACTATAGTCCTCATGCTGTAGTCATTGAATCTCTGGATTTATTCATCCTACATAACTACAACTTTGTACCCTTTGATCTACATCTCCCCATTTCCTGCCTACCCTCCACCCCTAACCCTCATCCCCCGTAACTACCATTCTACTCTTTGTTTCTATGTATCTGACATCTTTTTAAAGATTCTCTATATAAATGAGATTATGCAGTATTTTTACTTCTGTGTCTGGCTTATTTCACTTGACATAATGTCTTCCAGGTTCATTCACGTTGTTGCAAATAGCAGATTCTCCTTTTTTAAGACTGAATAATATTGCATTGTATATACACTATAATTTTGTTATTTACTCATCCATCAGGAACATTTAGGCTGTTTCCATATGTTGGCTATTGTGAATAATGCTGCAATGAACATGAGAGTGCAAATATCTCTGTGAGAGGGTGATTTCATTCCCTTTGGATATATACCCAAAAGGGAGATTGCTGAGTCATGTAGTAGTTCTATTTTTATTTTTTTTAGGAACTCCCACACAGTTTTCCATTAAAATTGCACCAATCTACATTTCTACCAACAGTGTACAAGGGTTCCTTTCCTTTTCTCCACCTCCTTGCCAACACTCATTACCTTTCTTATTAATCATAGCTATTCTAACAGGCGTGAGGTGATATCTCACTGCAGTTTTGGTTTGCTTTTCTTTGATTAGTGACATTGAGTCCATTTTCATACACTTGTTCGTCATTTTTATGTGCTGTTGGGGGAAATGTCTACTCAGGTCCTTTGAACAGTTTTTAACTGGATTATGTTTGTTTTTTTTTAATATTGAGCTGTGTGGGCTCCTTATATATTTTGGATATTAACTCCTTATCAAATATATGGTTCACAAATATCATCTCCCAATCCACAAGATGCCATTTCCTTTTCATTTTGTGGATTATTTTGCTGTGCAGAAATTTTTTAATTTCGGTGTAGTCTCACTTATTTTTGCTTTTATTGCCTGAGTTTTTGATGTGATATCCAAAAAATCATTGCCAAAGCCAACATCAAGGAGCTTTTCTCCTATGTTTTCTTTTTTTTTTTGAGACGGAGTTTCACGCTTGTTACCCAGGCTGGAGTGCAATGGCGCGATCTCGGCTCACCGCAACCTCCGCCTCCTGGGTTCAGGCAATTCTCCTGCCTCAGCCTCCTGAGTAGCTGGGATTACAGGCACGCACCACCGTGCCCAGCTAATTTTTTGTATTTTTAGTAGAGACGGAGTTTCACCATGTTGACCAGGATGGTCTCGATCTCTTGACCTCGTGATCCACCCGCCTCAGCCTCCCAAAGTGCTGGGATTACAGGCTTCAGCCACCGCGCCCGGCCTCTCCTATGTTTTCTACTAGGAGTTACATGGCTTCAGGTCTTACATTTAGGTTTTTAATCTATTTTATTTTTTTATGTATGTGTAAGATAAAAGTCCAGCTTCATTCTTTTGCATACGGATATCCAGTTTTCTCAACACCATTTATTGAAGATACTATTCTTTCCCAATTGTGTCTTCTTGGTGCCCTTGTTAAAAATTAGTTGTTAAAAATGTTTATGTTTGGGTTTGCTTCTGGGCTGTCTATCATATTCCATTGTCTGTTCTCATGCCAGTACTATAACTTCTTTGATTACTATAGCTATGTGACATAATTTGAAATCAGGAAGTGTGATGTCTCCAACTTTGTTTTTCCTAAGATTGCTTTGTCTATTCAGGGTCTTTTGTGGTTCCATATGATTTTTATAATTCTTTTTTCTATTTCTGTGAAGAATGCCATTGAAATTTTGTTGGGAAATGCATTGAACCTGTATACTGCTTTGGATAGTATAGATGAAACTAATTCTTCCAATCCATAAACATGGAATAACTTTCCATTTATTTGTGTCTTCCTCAATTTATTTCATTAATGTTTAATAGTTTTTATTGTAGAGATATTTCACATCCTTGGTTAAATTTATTTCTAGGTACTTTAATTAACACACTGTGCTGTATCACACTGATTGATCTGTATATGTTAAACCATACTTGCATCCCAGGGATGAATCCCACTTGGTCATGATGTATAATATTCTTTATGAATTGTTAAATTAAGTTTGCTAGTATGTTATTGAAGATTTTTGCAGCTGTGTTCATCAGAGATATTGGCCTATAGTTTCCATTTCTGTCATTGTTTTTTATGTTGTTTTTGCTTTTGTTTTAGAGATGGGAGTCTCACTATATTGCCCAGGCAGGACTCCAACTCCCAGGCTCAAGTGATCCTCCCACCTCAGCCTCCAGAGTAACTAGAACTACTGGTATGGGGCACCACACCTAACTAGTTTTGTTTTCTTGTGTTATCTTTGGAAAATTGTTATCAGGTGATACTGACCTTATAAAATGAGTGGGGTGCAGTGGCTCACACCTGTAATTTCAGCAACTCAGGAGGCTGAGGCAGAAGGATTGTTTTAGGCCACAAGTTTGAGACCAGCCTAGACAATATAGTGAGACCCTGTCTCTAAAAAAAAAAGTTTTTAATTAGCCAGTCATGGTTGTATGTACTTGTAGTTCCTGATACTTAAGAGGCTGAGATGGAAGGACTGCTTGAGCCCAGGAGTTCAGGGATGCAATGAGCTGTAATCATGCCACTGAACTCCAGGCTGGGTGACAGAACAAGACCCCCATCTCTGAAAAATAAAAATAAAGGTAATGAGTTTGAAGTATTCCCTCTAGTTCTAAGTTTTTGGAAGATAAGGATTGGTACTAATTATTTGAATGTTTGGTAGAATTCAGTCATGAAGCCATCTGGTCCTGGGCTTTTCTTTGTTGGGAGCCTTTTTTTAATTTGAGGCGGAGTTTCGCTGTTGTTACCCAGACTGGAGTGCAATGGCACGATCTCGGCTCACCGCAACCTCCGCCTCCTGGGTTCCAGCAATTCTCCTGCCTCAGCCTCCCGAGTAGCTGGGACTACAGGCATGCACCACCACGCCCAGCTACATTTTGTATTTTTAGTAGAGACAGGGTTTCACCTTGTTGACCAGAATGGTCTTGATCTCTTGACCTCATGATGCACCCGCCTCAGCCTCCCAACGTGCTGGGATTATAGGCGTGAGCCACAGCACCTGGCCAGGGAGGCTTTTAATTACTACTTTAATCACTCTATTTGTTATGTTTGTTCAGGCTTAATTTCTTTCTCATTCAGTTTTAGCAGGTATATGTTTCTAAGAATTTATCCGTTTCCTCTAGGTTATTTAATTTGTTGGCTTCAAATTGTTCATGATCATCTCTAGGGATCTTTTTTATTTCTGAGGTATCCACTGTCATGTCTCCACTTTTATTTCTGATTTTATTTATTTCAGTCTTCTCTTTTTTTTTCTTAGTCTAGCTAAGTCTTTGTCACTTTTATTTGTTAGGAGAGCCAACTAAATTTTGTTAATGTATTCTTTCGTTTTTATTTATTTCTGCACTGATCCCTAATTTATACATAACCATACATACACATATATATTTATACATCATTTTCTAATGTATTCTTTAGTTATTCTCTATTTATTTCTGCTCTTGTCTTTATTATCTCCTTCCTTCTGCTAACTTTAGTTTACTTTATTCTTCTTTTTCTAGTCCCTTGAAGTGTAACATTTGGTTGTTTGAGATCTTCTTTCCAAATGCAGGTGTCTATCACTATTAACTTCCCTCCTAGAGCTGCTTTTGCTGTCTCCCTTAGGTTTTGGTGTGTTGTGTTTCCATCTTCATTTGTCTCAACGTATTTTTTCAATTTCCCTTTGGATTTCTTCTTTGACCTCTTGTTCAGGAGCATGATGTTTGATTTTCACCTTTTTGAATTTTCAGATTTTTTTCTTATTGTTGATTCCTAGTTTCATACCACTGTGGTCATAAAAGATACTTGATATGGTTTCAGTCTTCTTAAAGTCTTCTTTGTTGAGACTTGTTTTGTGGCCTAACATATGATCTATCCTGGATAATGTTCAATGTGCACTTGGAAAGAACGTGTATTCTGCTGCTGTTGGATGGAATGTTTTGTGTATATCTGCTAAGTCCATTTGGCCTAAAGTGTAGTTCAAGTCCAATGTTTCCTAACTGATTTTCTGTCTAGATGATCTCTCCAGCGTTGAAAGTGGGGTACTGAAGTCCCCTGCTACTACTGTCTTACTATTTTCCCCTTCATATATGTTAACAATTGATCATATATGTATTTAGGCGCTCTGATGTTATGTGCATATATATTCATAATTGTTACATCTTCTTGATGAATTGAGCCCATAAGACTTTTCTTAATGTCCAATTCTTTGCGCACTATACAATACATGGCCTCTATAAAGCCTACTGCTATCATAAAATCCTCTTTTTATCTCTAAAGACTGCTAAGTATTTTCAATATAGTTCAGAAAATAAATTTGGTTTCCAAGAGCGAAGCTTTTCAGCAGGATGAATGGGGTCTTCGAATGTAAATGTGCCTGTTCCTAAGTTTGTATTCAGAATAAAAAAAGAAGGCATCCAACTGCTGATCTTATGAGGCCCCCTAGTGCTCAGAGCAGACACTTTTGCAATCTGAACATAGACACTTTAGAAATATCTTTAACTCTTAAATGAACTATGGAATTGATCTGTAGCACAGTAAGAAATATCTCTTTAGGGGAGTCGATGCAGAAAAAATGGAAAAGACCATTTTAGTTCATTCATCGTGAATTCTTTGAGCCAACATTCAGAAGACAAGCATTAGAAAATCTTAAGCAATATTTAATAATATTATTTTTCAAAATCATGATCTGTGATAGTAACATTCCTTTTTACTTTATTTCTTGATCCAGTTAAATTATTAATGCATCACTGTATAACATTCAAAATATTCAAAGCTTTAGATAGTAACACATTATGATCACATCTTTTATAAGGAGAGTTTATCCCTTGTATAATTTTAAAATATACAATTTTAGGCAGGGCGCAGTGGCTCACACATTTAATCCTAGCACTTGGTAGGACAGGGCAGGCAGATTGCCCAAGCTCAGGAGTTTGAGACCAATTTGGGCAACATGGCAAAACCCCGTCTCTACTAAAAATACAAAAAATTAGTCGGGCATGGTGGTGTACACCTGTAGTCCCACCTTCTCAGGAGACTGAGGCACAATAATCACTTGAACCCTGGAGGTGGAGGTTGCCTTACTACTTGGAAGGCTGAGGCAGGAGAATTGCTTGAACCTAGGAGGCAGAGGTTACAGTGAGCCTAAATCGTGCCACTGCACCCCAGCCTGGGCAATAGAGGGAGACTATGTCTCAAAAAATTAATTAATTAATTAATTAAATGTAATTAACTTGTAAAGGTCAGTGTGCATTATTTCCCTCAATAGTTGTTTATCTTCTGAAATCTCACAGTGCTTACGTCCGTAACATTATAACAATTGTCATGTTTACCATGATAACATTCTTTAATGGCATTCTCTGTCTTACTTTCTTACCACTGTCTTTAACTGAGGAGATATCTGGTATTTACAAGCAGCTGCTTATAAATAATGTGTTATAAATAAAAATGTGCTATAAATGACTTAGTAGTAATTTAAATACACAAAGCTGCAAATAATATACCTGTATTTGTTATGTATATAGGGGAACCCATCCCAGAACCACTACCAGCCCTCCATCCCTACCCCACCCTCTATGTTCCTGGGCAAACCCACAGAATTTGTCCTTTTAATTAAATTTAGCCATAATCCTTTATCCTCTCTTCTACTTCTCTTTTCCTCTCTCTTTCCTACTCCTCAAATTGGGAGAGACTTATCTAATTAGTAATACTAGGGAAAGGGGCACTAACTCATGCCTAACTCAAGATATTACTGGTTTTCTCTTTTGAGATACAGCCTATTAGTGACAGTCTCTATTCCCCAATACAGTTAACAGCTTGTTCTATGGGGTGAGGACTAAAAGTGTCCAGCTGTCTGCCTGAGACTGTGTGGGTGAGTTTAATAGAGCAGAAGAAGAATATCAAGTCACATTTTCTAATACTAGCCATAAGCTAATATTTCAATCCCTGACTTCAGCATCTATTTCTAAATTGTATAATAATTTAGAGAAGGAAAAAGTCTTATCAATTTATCATCCAAACAATGTACATTAGAGCAGATTTAAGATTATCCCTTTAATAACGTAACTTATTTTCTGTGCTTTGAGTGGGAGAGAAGGGAATTAAATGTTGTCCTTAAAATACTTGAACATGGGCCGGGCACGGTGGCTCATGCCTGTAATCCCAGCACTTTGGGAGGCCGATGCGGGGGGATCACGAGGTCAAGAGATCGAGACCATCCTGGTCAACAAGGCGAAACCCCGTCTCTACTAAAAATACAAAAATTAGCTGGGCATGGTGG